AATAATAATAATAATAATAATAATAATAATAATATACTTAGAAATGGTTATGCAGACAGTAAAACACCATGACATAATGTTCCTACATTTGAAAAGAACATACAGTTCAAATTTGTACTGGAGCAGAGGTGTGTAAACTTGGAGCAGGTGCTCCATGACTTGGACTTCTCTAAAAAAAGCTATCCCCTTATTCTAAACTGAGCTGACAAGCCAGATGGGGTCATGAGACCCCTGCAGGCATCAATAGCAATAGCAGTTAGACTTATATACCGCTTCATAGTGCTTTACAGCCCTCTCTAAGTAGTTTACAGAGACAGCAAATTGCCTGCAATAGTTTGGGTCCTCATTTTACCAACCTCAGAAGGATGGAAGACTGAGTCAACCTTGAGCCAGTCAGGATTGAACTCCTGGCTGTGGGTAGAGTTTGGATGCAATACTACATTCTAACCACTGCACCACCATGACTTCTTACAACAAATGTGACAAAGCTCATTCATGGTTGAGATATCTGGTACTATGTGTCCTCCAACTCTATTCAGCATTAAACAGACAGACATTCAGTTGTCTAAATATTGTGATATTTTACACTTTCTCTTGCTATAAGAAGAGGTTTTGGAAATTCTTTGATAGCTCACAGCTTTCCTTGCATCCAGCCCCCTTCAGGAAATTAACACATCTTCTCCCAAATACTAAAGCAAAATTCATCTTGTGAAATACTAAATTCATCTTATGAAAACGTGTTGATATTTCCATTAGTTTCTTGTGTATACTTACGTATTGTCCACTTCTAGTTTTTGAACAATTTAATTGTAAAATGTAAAAGTATATGAGTTGATTGTTATATACTAACTAGACCAATAAATTCTGTGGAGGAAGTAAACATGGCATACTCTATCCTCCTCCAAATCAGTCACCTCCAGATGTGCCAGATTAAGACTCCTGGAATTCCCTGTCAGGACTACTCAAAGAGTGGTTGAGGGCTGCCTTAGACATGAACAGTAGAAAATAATAGAGTCTGCATCTCGACTTGCTCAATTTCAAATAACAGAATAATGAATGATGTAATGAATGAAACTGTCATTGTTTTTTATGTATTTTCAGAACCAGCTCATCCTGGGTGTTGTGGGGATTGATGTGGCTCTAAATGATGTCAAGAAGCTGACACCACGATACAATGTGAGTAGGGAAGATGTTCTGTTCTTCAAACTCTGTCATTTAAAAAAAGGAAGCAGGATAGGAAGAGGGGTGTTAGTTTTCCTAGGAGTGTCCTCCCTAAATTCTCTACTTCGCCCCCAAACCGTCTTTCATCTTTTTGATGATGATCACTGAGGCAAACTGAAATCCTTTCCTTTCATTTAGAAAATGTGATGGACCTTTATTCTCTGCTTGGGTTGGGTATTAGATAAGCAGGAGGTGACACCGGAGTATCATGGTGAAGAAGCTTTGACGCAACTCCGTTCTGTCCTTTTGAGATGTAATCTGTTTCTCTTCAGGAGGATTTTCCTTTCTTTTTTGTCTTTCCATCCAGTTGGGGGCTAATGGCTATGTATTTGCTATTGACTTGAATGGATATGTATTGCTACATCCAAACCTGCGACCTCTGGTAAGAATACTTTTGGGCATGTGAATGTGTATTCAAAATCATTGCAAAAAATACGTAGTCATTTATTCCATCGTGTTAGCAGCAACTACAAAATAGACAGTGTTAGAAAGACAATTTTTGCTCTTTCGCCATTTTTTATCATGATGAGCTCTTCCATTTTTTTCCCCGAACTGACTGCAATAAGTTTGTCCTCTTTCATTTTTCCTGGAAAGATATTCTTGCTATTATGTGGATACTGACTATGCCTGTCTAAAGGTGAGTATCTCGTACTGTCTGGATTGGAATTAATGAGTTGGGTGGAAATGTTAATGGTGGCAATTTGCCATTAGACTGAAAGCGTATGCGAACAGCTGTCACAAACAAGTGCACCACTCACATTTTAGCCACCTCTGAGTCACAGATTGACCACCATATGCCACCATCTGGCCAGAAAGTGAGCTTGGCAATTGAAAAGATCAGTCCTCCTGTTCTGTAGAATGTATAGCTGCATATACTTATTATTGAGTAATAATCAAAGCTTGGCATAAATGTTTATAATGGATATGTGAAATGTAGCACTCATAAATTCTCTGGCCCAAAACGTTTTAATGAATTAAGCATCATATTTTTTCACCTTCACTGTGACTTTGTGAACTCTCCCGTCACTCCTTCCAATCTATCTCTTTCATTCTTTGCCCCTTTGATGTTCATTCCTTTACATTCCTAGAACCTTGGGTTTCAACTTCCTGCAGGACTTTTTTCTCTAATCTAGTCAGGTGTGAAGCTTTTCTTCCAGAAAATTAATCTTTCCCTATGTCCATAATAGCAGAACAGACTTGCAAAGCCTGTCTCTCACCAGAGAGGGCCAACAAACACTCTTAGGTTGTATTTGCAACCCTTGGGATGGTTTTCATGCAATCTTGAAATCCCCACATCATTGTCACCAAATCTGACAGTACAGTTTGCTGCAAAAAAATTAAAAAAGAAACAGTGGTGAACTTTTGCTTTTCACACTTTAAATCCTTTTACAAGGCTTAACATTTTCAGCACTTTAAAGTTTGTCAGCTTTCTTGGTTTATTGCTTAGCTACTTTCAGGGTGGGGGATGGGTAGAGGGAGATAGTTGTATTTAAAATGTTTGCCTTGGCGTTCTTCTTGGGAGCCTTGCCCAATCAGCTTTTGGCATGGAGCCCCCTGCACAAAGACAAAGTATGGTGTCATTGACTCAAAAAAAGATTTAACTATGTCGATGAGATTTAACTATGTCGATGAGTATTATACCTGGCGAGAGATTTTCAATGTTTAAATTAGAATTGCAGCCAAAGATTTAGCTAATTACATTAACATCAAAATGTGTAATTTATCCTTTTTTTTTAAAAAAAAGTGGGATTTTGAGGCTATAATCTTACGGATACTTCCCAGGGACTGAGCTCAATTTGACTTTGCTGGATTAAATGTGAAGATATACATAAGACTGCATGATGATAGTATTTTCCTCAGCTAGTTGTCCCATGAACACATTTGCTCATGGGTGTCAAATACAAGTCAGCCACCGCAGCGTATGCTAAACATGGCAATCCTTGAAGGAGTAGTTACCTCAAGTAAACAAACAGGGACGATCTGCTTAATTTCCTCAGCAACAAAGTGAGAAAAGATAGCCAATTTGAAAATATACATTAGACAGGAACAGCACAATATCTGCTCTTCAGTTAGCCATAGCAGAATTATGGTGTTTAACTGGATTAGGAAATATAGAAGCCCTCTCTATGGTGGAATCTGCAGTGGAAGTTCCATAATATGCACATCATGTATGAATGACAAGAGCTACTGAACTGAACCTTCAGTTAGTCATTCCCTTTGTTTTTATAGACATGGTTGTTCTAACTTACTGGCATTGATGATGACTAAGGATGTTGGGCAGTGTGAAATTCAGATATTTGAGATTTAAATAATTGTTTTGGCTGCAGGGTGGGATTCATTTACTGTGGGCAAATATGCTCATGTGCTTCAAGTGGAAGAGAAAATATGTTCCTGAGAGTCATTGGCTATATCTTGACAATATAATATATGTATTTCTCTTTCTTTCTTAGCAAGTATAGGAAAGAATTAGACCATTTTATGAAATATTACTTGCTCAGGGGTATTAACCAAAGGAAAAGGAGTGGATGAAAGCCTTAGGCCAATGTATCTAAGAAGTTCTGCAATCATCAGAATGGAACAAAAAGAACAGGCTTCTAGCTCAAATACAGTACTTGTCAGATAAATCTGTCATTGAAAGGGCAGCCAGAAATTAAGGAATTGAAAAATGGCATTAATCAGAATGAGATACATTTCATTGGCAGAAATTTCCAGCTCAGTTCATCAGCCTTATTAACAGGCAGATGATGTGGCAGAGATGGACAGAAACCATAGCAGTTTATTTAGTCACTTCACTGTGACTCTGATCAATAATAGTTCAAATTATTCAGCACAGTAAAATCACCCAAGGAACACCCATAATTCCCTGTGTTTTTGTGTGTGTCTGGCTTAAATCCAAACAACTTTCATAACAATGCCTGTCTTTAAGTAGTACCTTGTTCTTTCAATTTTAGTCAGAAGACGTTATTTTGGCATATGAGTAGAATATATCTTTCTGGACACTTGAGAATTTAACTAGTTTTGAATGCTTCCAAATGTAACAATGACAAGTTCCTATTTTCTTCATTAATTAATTGATTGATTCAAATGGCATTCAGACTTACATTTGATGGAGTAAAGATTGAAAAGTGACTATTAAAATTTTGTCCTGGTAATGTGGTAGAACTCTATCCTAACTTCACACCATTGATGTCTTGTTTCATTTTTGCATTTCTTCCTACTTAGAAATCGGATTACATTTGTACATAAAGAATGTTTAGTACACTAAAACTTGGTTTGGAACTTTCAAACCAATAAAAGCAGTTTTTTTCTTTGACATCTTGGTATTAAGTGCTGTGTTAATATCTTTTATTACAATAAACTAGATAGTTACGCACAAAATGGAATAGATTCTAGCAAAGCTTTTCTCGGCCATATGTATTCTTTCTGACAAACTCATTTTTTTTTGTTACCTCTGCTCACTGATGAACCATTTTCATTTATTCTAGGGCATTTCACTTCCACCACATACCACTCCTATCACACTCCACAACTTTCAGTTCCAATTGGTACATAAGATACAATAAATAAATATATTCACATTATTATATGCCTTTTATAAATCAATAAAAGTGCAATATAATTTCTCACTTAAATTCATGATTTCTAGTGACTGATGAAGAGTCAAATTGATTCTGCACATACCCTAAAGCCCTACTATGCTTCTCAAATTTTATCTTGTCACTGTCACATCCTTTCAGTGTAAATTCCACTGGAAACCCTCCTAGAAACTGTTGAGGTTTTTTTGTTTTTCTGATTTTTTAGCTGCCTGGTGGGGGTTGACAAAGACCTTTTTCTAAGCAGACACTTTTGAAACAATCATTCACATACACACATCCCTGCCATATGCTCTGGTAGGCCCAGAAACAGTTTTAGATTCAGAGTCTCTAGCTTTCTGTTGTAGTCCAGATTGATCAAGAGAGGGGTCTAGAACAATTCACTGCAGCCAACTTACCACAGCCAACTCACCACAGGACAACTTGTCACTACAGAGCAACTCACCACAGGACAAGAATTACGGTAATATTTAAAAAATGGTGGCATAGAATCATTAAAGAAAGGATACCAAAGGAGGAACAAAATGAAATGTGAATGACAAAAATTAAAATATTTTTTTAAAATTATTTTAAATAATTAAATTGAATTGTTGAATTATCCAGCGGCAAGTTGCCCTACCACGAGTTGGCCATGGTGAGTTGGCCATGGCAATTTGGCTGCAGCAAGTCGGCAATGGCAAGTTGGCCATAGTGAGTTGGCCATGGCGAGATGTCCCATTCCAATGGAGAGGTGTCTCTCCCTGCTGTAGAAGCCTTGAGAAAAAAAATTCTGGTTAACATACCATCAGTCATCCAGTGAACCATTTAGTGAAGAATATATATAAGCCGGGCTTCTAGAAGTCTCACAGTGATTCAAGGATGCAAGCTCTTGATAAGTATATTGACTGCAAAACCTAGAAACATGATAAAGAAGAAATCTGGCAATTATCAAGTGTGAGCTACAAGCCCTATTTATAATAGAAGCAAGGTTCAATTTTTTTAACCTCTTTTTTCTGCCAGTGTGGCATAATGGGCTGAGAGTCTCATATCTTTTGATGGGGGAAGCCATTTAACAGCTCTGCATTGTTATTATAATGAAATAGTCTGGTCTTGTTGAGTGCTTCTGACTTGGCCTTTATAAGACACCATGCATTTAATCATCCATTCTTCACATCGTTTCTATCCTGGCAAAATAACAGACCTTAGTTTGCCTACTACTAAGCAAACTATTAGGAACATAGGATCCAACAAATATAACGAGATATTAAGGTAAGGTTATATTGTTAATAGGGGCAGCATGATGGCGCAGTGGTTAAGACACTGGGCCTATCAGCTGAAAAGTCAGCAGCCCTGGTTCAAGACCTGAGCGCCACGCAATAGGGTGAGTTCCCATCCTTGCCCCAGCTCCTGGCAACCTAGCAGTTTGAAAGCAGGCAAATGCGAGTGGATAAATAGGTACCACTTAGGCTGGAAGGTAATATCGCTCCAGGACATCATGCTGGCCACATGACTGCAGAAATGTCTTTGGACAGCACTGGCTCAATGGCCTTGAAATGAAGATGAGCACCGCCCCCTAGAGTCAGCAACAAGCAGCAGACTAAAATCCTAAGGGACTGCTTTACTTTACCTATATTGTTGATATATTGTTTTAAAGAAGGGATGGCTTGCCTTATCTCTGAATCAGTTCTAAGTGTCTTACAGAAAAATAATTAATTTTACAATTAAAACATTCTTTCCAGTTACAGCTCCCCCTACATCTAACTCTGAGATTCTTATGTGTCTATGGAAAAGTTCTATTTACTCCCAAGAGCATACATTTGCATTTTGTACAAAATGTTTCAGTAACAAACTGTCAGCATCTCTAATTACCAAACATCATAATTTATAACAGCATTTATACTACGTATACTCTAGCCCTGACTTAGGCATGAAATTAGCTGGGTTATCTTGGGCCAGTCATTGTCTCTCAGCCCTAGGAAGAAGGCAATGGCAATCCACTTCTGAAAAACCTTGCCAGAAAAAAACTGCAGGGATTTGTCCAGGCAGTCAGTAGGAGTCAATACTGAGTCATTGGATAGTGAGATGAGCGGCATATAAATTTAATAAATAAACACTGACTTGAAAGCAAAAAAAAACACCTCTGTCAAGGAGCGAAGCAACCTAGAACTAAGGAGAAACTTCCTGATAGTTAGAACAATTAACCAATGGAACAACCTGCCTCCAGAAGCGGTGAATGCTCCAACACTGGAAGTTTTTAAGAAGAGACTGGACAGCCATTTGTCCGAAATGGTATAGGGTTACCTGCCTGAGCAGGGGGTTGGACTTGATGACCTTCAAGGTCCCTTCCAACTTTATTATTATTATTATTATTATTATTATTATTATTATTATTATTATTATTATTATTATTATTAAGGCACAGAACAAGGATTGTTTTGACATGCTTGTTGTGAACAGGATGATAATCTTGAATTCTCATCTCATTCACACCACCCATCACTACTTTGGGGTTATTCTTTCAGATCATCAATTTTCAAGAACCTGTAACCCTGGATTTCCTTGATGCTGAACTAGAGGATGAGAACAAAGAAAGGGTAAGCAATAACAATAGATCAGCTCTGCTTTATCTGAGGCAAATACATATGTACCGTAATTATATATTTTTAAAAAATTGTATTAACGTTTATATAGTTTTTCTATCAAAGACTATCAGAGTAGCCTACAACAACCCAAAAAACAAAAATACAAGTGCTCCAAAAACTATGATAAAATTATTTAAAAACAACAAAACAAAAAAAGATTCTAATGGCATTGTAGCAATCTTTTTTCAGTGCAGAGTAGTAAGTTTCTACAAAGTTTACTTTTACAAATCTGGGCATCAGATTTTTTTCCTTTGGCAAACTTAGTGTTACACTGTCACAACAGGATTTTTGCAATACTGGTAATGGCAACTTGGAATAATGTCTTTATGTATACAGGTAGTCCTCGACTTACAACAGTTTGTTCAGTGACCGTTCAAAGTTACAACGGCACTGAAAAAAGTGATTTATGACCATTTTTCACACTTATATCCACTACGGCAACCCCATGATCATGTGATCAAAATTCAGACACCTGGCAACTGACTCATATTTTGTGACCTTCTGACAAGCAAAGTGAATGGGAAAGCCAGATTCATTTAACAAAGATCATTAGGGGACTGGAGGCTGGAATTGGGTATGTCACTCTAGTTTAATGAAGAGAAGGACGAGGGGTGACATGATAGCTGTGTTCCAATATCTCAGGGGCTGCCACAAAGAAGAGGGAGTCAAGCTATTCTCCAAAGCATTTGAAGGCAGGACAAGAAGCAATGGATGGAAACTAATCAAGGAGAAAAGTAACTTAGAACCAAGGGGAAACTTCCTGACAGTTAGAACAATTAATCAGTGGAACAACCTGCCTCTAGAAGCGGTGAATGCTCCAACACTGGAAGTTTTTAAGAAGAGACTGGACAGCCATTTGTCTGAAATGGTATAGGGTTTCCTGCCTGAGCAGGGAATTGGACTAGATGACCTCCAAGGTCCCTTCCAACTTTATTATTACTATTATTATTATTATTATTATTATTATTATTATTATTAGCCGTGTTACTAACTTAACAACTATAGTGATTCACTTAACAACCATGGCAAGAAAGGGGCAAAATTCACTTAGCAAATGTTTCCCTTAGCAATAGAAATTTGGGGCTCAATTGTGGCTGTAGGTCAAGGACTACCTGTAATTACATAATTATTTCTTATACTTCTGTATAGTAAATTGCATATGTATGTGTATGTGCATTTATACCATAGTATGAATCATGCACGAATGCAGATCCTATCCTGTTAAGAGATTTTCTTGGGATTTGAACAGAAGAGTATAAAAAGGTAACTGTAAATGCAGTTCCTGTGTGCTACCACTGTTATGTATCCCCACCCAACTTCATAGCATTTTCTATTCTCCCATCTTTAGATTCGCCGAAGCATGATAGATGGAAATAAAGATCAACAATATATTAAGACTCTGATAAAATCCCTTGATGAGGTAAATATGTTGGACTTTGAGTCTGAGCTGCCAGATTTCAAAAAGAGTGGGCCTCTTTTGGAACATACTGGGAGCTGGGAGCTAGGATATGAAAAATATGACTTTCATGGAATTAAATCATTATTCCATTTGGCCAAGTCTCTTAAGACTTGCTTGGTTCCTATGCCTGGTGTTAAGGTATCTGTGGAGACCCTGTTGTGTCTTTTATGAATGTTGGGAGTGCTGTTTTGGTCTGGACAGTCATCAGTTTTTTTAACTTACGTATTAAAAATATTGCAAACTTCCCAGAGTCTTTTTGGATTTGGGCAGTCTTAACATTTAAATTCATTATATGTAGAATGATCTCAAAAGACTTCACGGAAATTTCCAATATATTAGAATACAAGAACTAGATTAGTAGTTGGGATTGGTTAGATTAACTGGAATATATGCTTCACCAGTTCCTTAATGTTAATTGTGATATACATTGGTTTATTTACCATTTATTTGAGGAAGAATGAAATGTGGCCAAAAATCTTTGAAATCAGCTAATTAATGTTTTTCATAAATGTAATGAGCAATATTTAGTCATTCATTTCTTTTGACTCTACAGAGGTATATTGATAAAGTTCATAGAACCTATACTTGGGCACCTATCAAAAGCACAAACTACAGGTAAGGAAGTAGCCAAGAAAAACACAGTTCTTCTGTTTCTTATACCTCTTCCATAAGTGATCTCTCTCTCTCTCTCTCTCTCTCTCTCTCTCTCTCTCTCTCTCTCTCTCTCTCTCACATGACTATGTTCTTCAGAATTTTATCTAATGTGCCAAAGATTAGTGATTGGCCATAATGTCTTGATTTAAACAGATAACCTTTTAGCAGGTGGCAGCATTCAGCCAATCTTGGTTAGTTTGGGAACCTAAGCAGGGCAGGTTCTGGTGAGTACTCAGGCTGAGATCCCCTTAGGAAACCAGTATTTAAGCTAAATTGTGGGATTTGTTTTTAAATGGCAAACTGCACCTATATTTTTCTAAAGAAAACTGCACATATGTATCCATATAAGCCATCAGAAGTCAGTCTAACTTGAAAGCAACTTTACTAAGTTTGATAGCCAATATTAGCCAAAGGATTATAACATAGTGGCTTGATCTTTTAAGTTATTTTGAAATGCTATATTTTTCACTAAAGTATATGTTTAGAATTCAGTAATAAAGTCTGTTAGAGTATTTTTGAGATCATCCCTTTGAAAACTGGGTCAATCACAGCACACTAGGAGAAACTCTGGTACAAGAACAATTCAGCATCAAACAGTGTAACAAATGTAGTCATCGGTAGTTATTGAGTGAGTGCTTAGGAGGAGAGGAGAGGTGACCCCTTGACATTTTTTGACACTTCTGCTCTAGAGATTATGATATCATCCAGCTGTCATTGTGGAAATAAAAAGCCTCTCTTCCTTAATGCTATATCAGCATAGCAATAGCCGGTTGATGCTACAAATGGCTGGTGCTGAAATATACAGTGCCAGATGTTCTTTGTGGGTCCATTCATTTATATTATTACCTGTGCCCTTAGGTCTTGAAGGGTAGAAATAAAATCTGGGGGAAAGCATCCATTGATTTTTTTTAAAGCATAACACTTTTCCAATGTATATATCTTCCCACTATAATGTAATATTATATGCCACACTTGGAATACTGCATCCAGTTTTTGTCACCACAATGTAAAAAAGATGTTGAGACTCTAGAAAGAGTACAGAGAAGAGCAACAAAGATGATTAGGGGTCTGGAGGTTAAAACATATAAGGAAAGGTTGATGGAATTGGATATGTCTAGTTTAATGAAGAGAAGGACGAGGGGGGACATGATAGCAGTGTTCCAATATCTCAGGGGTTGCCACAAAGAAGAGGGAGTCAAGCTATTTTCCAAAGCGCCTGAAGGCAGGACAAGAAGCAACGGGTGGAAACTAATCAAGGAGAGAAGCAACCTAGAACTAAGGAGAAACTTCCTGACAGTTAGAACAATTAACCAGTGGAACAACCTGCCTCCAGAAGTGGTGAATGCTCAACACTTTGTCTGAAATGGTATAGGGTTTCCTGCCTGAGCAGGGGGTTGGACTAGATGATCTCCAAGGTCCCTTCCAACTTTATTATTATTATTATTATTATTATTATTATTATTATTATTATTATTATTATTATTATTATAGGGAGCTACTTATTATAATATGAAGATTATATCATGTTTGAAGTCTGCAACCAGAAACTGTTAAGTGAGACTGCCATCTAGTGTATTATTGTTTATTGCAAATATACGTATTCCTCGGAAATTTTCTAGGAAAACCAATTTATTACTAGATGGCTCAACAAATAGCCAGTTGTTTCTAATCCAGCTATCTGAGAATCGTGCATAGAATAAAAAATATTTATGTCTGCCATGAATTTGTGTTTCAGAATGAAGTCTTGATATGGTATGGCAAACAGACTCTCCTGGGAAAGACATTGTAAACTTAACTTCCTCAAATCTTCATTTCTAATTCTGCTTCCAACAAGTGTCCTTTAAAGATACTGGTTTTATTCTTAGCTGTATTTTATTCCTGACAAAGACAGACCATTCTGAGATTCAGTCTTGCGTAACATCAGTTCATTAAATGTTCCTTGGACAATTTGCAACATCCAACACTTTCATACTGGTGTCCCCAGTCCAGTTCCTTCCAGATATATCAGTCTTCAACCCTGATGATCTCGCAAGGCAATTTGTTGCTGTAAATCGTGGGTGTCAAACTCGCTGTGTCACGACGTATCGCAGCTTTTTTTGCACTGCCGGAGCTGGGGTGGGCATGGCGTCCATATGATGCAACTGGCCCACAGGCTGGCAGTTTAACATCCCTGCTGTAAATCTTCAGTTACTGTCTTCTATTCAGACTGTTTTCATCACCAGTGCAGCTGCTTTGGTAACCCTGTGATTTCTCTCTTTTCCTGTTCCAGCTTAGGTCTGGTCTTACCAAATTACAGCAGATCTTACATCCAAGCTAATCTCAGTGACCAGATTCTCCAGGTGAAGTGTAAGTATATGTTTTTATTTTCCTCCTGTCCTTTCACATACCCTTTGACCCTGAACCCGCCAGCTAGCCTAAGGATGATTTGCAAGAGAAAGCAAAATGCCTGAATGTTAACACTTTTAAAAATGTATCAAATTAAAAAAGAAAAAAAATTCCTACCCAGAGAAGAAAAGAAAGTTTCATTTTATTTATGAAAGAATAATGCAGGCTTCCCAGAGATGAAACGATTGATCAGATCCCTTGCAATGAACTTTTTAAAAACATCCAGGGGAGATGAGGTAGAGTTGTTGCTTTATATGCTTTTCATGTGGTAGATTATAATAGCAGCTGGTTAATTTGAAAACTGGGAAATTTTGCATGTTTCTTTCTGTTTTGTTTAAATTTTGTTTTAAGCCATCCTTATTTTTATTTAAAGTTTGAATTTCTTTGCTTCTTGTCCTCACTAATTTACAATTAATCTCTGTACTTGTGTGTTTGCTTCCCCTTGTGTGTGATCCTGGGCTCTGCTCTCTCATCAAAGGGTGTGAGGCGCTTCCAAGGGAGTTTTTAACATCCTGTTCTGAGTGATTCTGCCTTTTTCTATCTGTGTCTGTCCCTCTGTCTCTGTCATTCCTCTTCTTTCTCAACTCTCTCTCCCTTCTCCCACCTTTTGTACTCCATACTCACGCGATGTTACTTATGGCGACTAAAAATTTTCACCTTCATGGAAGTTTAGAGTAATTCCTTACAGTGTATGCTGAAGTACGACATATTGAAGATTTGCTTATGCAAATAGATTCCAAAATGCAGGTAGTCCTTGACTTACAACCACAACTGGGACCAGAATGTCCATTTGCTAAACAAGGCATTTGGTAAGTGAGTCACGTCCAGTTTTATGACCTTTTTTTGCCATTATTGCTAAGCAAGTCATTGCAGTTTTAAAGTGAATCACATGTGATGAAGTAAATCTGGCTTCTCCCGTTGGCTTTCCTTGATGGAAGTCAGTGTGGAGTTAGCAAATGGTGATTACATGGCTCCAGGATGTGGCAGCCATTGTAAGAATGTGCTGATTGCCAAGCATCCAAATTTTGATCACATGATTGTAGGGATGCTATGATGGTTATAAGTGTGAGGACCAGTCAGAAGTTACTTTTTCAGTGCCATTGTAACTTCAGTCACTAAACAAATGGTTGTAAGTTAAGGACTCCCTGCATATAGGCTCTTCTGACCAAGACTGGATAGAACCATCAATCACAGAGTGGTCTTACCCTTAAATGGATTGATCCAGCCCCGGAACAAATCATTCCAAGTACTCTGGACATAGTATAATATTAATCAGGCCCACACCGTGAGTTTCTTGAAATAGTTAAAAGATGGGTGATTTGGCATATCTCTAGCCCAGCCCTAGATGTTGCCCCAACTTGCTCACTTTTAATCAAATTAGTTTTAACCCCATTGCATAAAGACATTACAGTTGCAGTCCTTTCCAATTTACTTGGGAATATAAAAAAATCCTTTCAATAAAAATTTCTTTAGAAAAAACTATGACACTAAGAAGAAATGTGAATCATCTTTCTCCTGCTATTTAAGCTTCCACTTCTCTATAGAAAGAAAAAATAAAGATCATCTAGTTTTAAGTTGGGGGGTATAGGTCTAGGCTGCTTAAGGGGCTCCTACAAAGACGAGGGGGTTAAACTACTTTCCAAAGCACCAAAAAGCATGACAAGGAGGGAAACTAATCAAGGAGAGAAGCAACCTAGAACTAAGGAGAAATTTCCTAACATTGAGAGCAATCAACCAATGGGATAGCTTGCCTTCAGAGGTTGTGGGTACTCCATTACTGGAGGTTATTAAGAAGAGACTGGGCAAACTATTTGTCTGAAATGGTATAGGGTTTCCTGTTCGAGCAGGGGGTTGGACTAGAAGACCTCCAAGGTCCCTTCCAACTCTATTATTTTATGTTCTATGTTTATGCTTCCAATATTTTGTAGGAGCATTTGGTGCAGTATTCACAAATGATTGCTTTGGGGAAAAAAATTGCCATCCCATACTTTCCAGATGAAAAGTTATGTTATAAAAAAGAATTGTTGCAAAGCCTCTTCCCTAGCATGGAAACTTGGTACAAAAATGTTTTTGATGTGGGAAGTGTTTACAAGTAGGTAACTCTGATAGAAGTTTTGGGAAGGATTATAGCAACAAATGTAAATAAGAATCAGAGGAGGCCTAATGTATGTCTCAGGCCAAGAGATGATACTTTCCAAAGAGCATCTGCTGTGAACAAGCATCTCTCCTTAACTCCTGGGACAGAATCGGTCTGTGCTTCAAAAGGATCCTGCTCTGGTATAAAGTTATATAGGAATGGCCTTGGGAGACAGGGAGAAGAGATGATTTCCCCCCTCCTCCCCCATCAGATAAGGGTCAAATAAGAGAGGTCATACCCCTTAGCTGCATATTGGGTGGAGAACGAGGTGGAGAATGAGGCTCAGAAAGGACCCCTTCTAAGTTCTCAAGCTGTAAAGGAGGCTTGCAAGATTGATGTGAGCCTTCCCAAGTAGAACAGTCAAGAAACATGGCCAGATGAGCTAATTATACTTTATTGTAAGACTACATCAACAGAATCTTGCCAGTCTAAAAGTACAAATCTCCCATCCTCTCCTTCACAGCCCGAAAGCTTGGGGAGAGGGACCTTATGAGCCTCTTTCTTCTTCCATTACGCAGCTGTTGACTATGCCCTCTCTTATCTGACAGTTTCCATCTTCACCTTATCTCCCAACATCATTCCCAAATACCATTACTGGCCATCTCTGATTTTATGTTTCTTCTCTCTCTCTTTCTCTCTCTCTCTCTCTCTCAAATGAGGCCTTAAGTTGCTACACATTATAACTAGTCCTCGACTTATGATAACAATTGAGCTCAACATTTCTGTTGCTAAGCAAGACAGTTGTTAAGTGAGTTTTGCCCCATTTTACGACCTTTCTTGCCGCCGTTGTTAAGTGTGAAGTGAATCACTGCAGTTGTTAAGTTAGTAACATGGCTGTTAAGTGAGTCTGGCTTCCCCACTGACTTTACTTGTCAAAAGCTCATACATGATCACATGATCCCGGGACACCGCAACCGTCATAAATATGAGCCAGTTGCCAAACGTCTGAGATTTGATCACGTGACCATGGAGATGCCGCAACGGTCATAAGTGTGAAAAACAGTCATAAGTCAGTTATTTCAGTGCCATAGTAACTTTAAACAGTCACTAAACAATTCAAATGGTTGTAAGTCGAGGACTACCTGTAGTTGAGATTACAACTTGGGTAGTTGGTTTTGAACTAGCATGCTAAGGGGCACCATATCAGGCCTGGCCTTCAGGTTTCTCAACACAGCAAATGAGTAGTTCAAATTCAGTCAGGAAGAGGAAGAGCTCTCTGATTACCCTCACCAGGCTAGGTTGGCAGGATTGATGCTTCCCAGGTTCCTTTTCCAATTAAAAACCAACCTGAAATAATACAACCTGGATTTGGTCCTCAATCTCCCTGCTTCTAACAGTAGCTACCTTATTTAATGTCTATCTAACTTAATATTATCATTGTAGTGCCTGGCAACAGCTCTGCCAAATTTCAGGCAGGAGCCATTTCCTGTCCTGCCTGAAAATTATACCTGGCGTCTTTTGCATATGCACAAGTATGTGCTTTCTGCTGTAAAGCTGCAAGCTTTCTCCTCAATGTCACTTTAATGCACATATATTTCTCTTCAACAATTTCTGTCATCATTGAGACTATTTTCTCTCATCAGGAAATTATACGTGTCTCTCTGGCAGGTTTTTGTTTTTTAAAATTGGTCATGTTTCATAAACTATGTGATTTCCCCTACGCACTATAATGTCAGGCATGGCAAAGACTTCCAGCTTCCTTTGCAAGAAGGAAATGTGGATTTAAAAAAAGAAAATAAGTTTCTGCCACATAGGGTTGATTCCAAGCTCCTGTCCTATTTTTACCTTTCACTGAGAATGGCCACATCTTTACCCATTTGCCAGATGAGCTCAGGCGTGGTCCATTGCCCTGAATTTCTCTCCCTTCATTTCCTTTCCTTCTGTCTCAATCTCTGTGTGTGTCTTTTGTTAATCTTGAATTTTGCATGGTCTGCTAACTCAGTAAGAACATTTCTAGATCAAGACTGTTGCAAACTGTTTGCTAATGAATTCCATTTTTATGTTGGTTATATAATATATATCTATAGATCGAGTTATATCTATACATTTTTATTATTTTCTTACTGTGGCCTTTGGTACTATTATTATTATTATTATTATTATTATTATTATTATTATTATTATTATTATTATTATTATTATTATTATTATTTTGGCTTATTTCTTTTTCATGTCGTTTTTTGCAAGAGGTTTCCTTTTGGTATGATTATGATACACAATATTTTTATTCAAACAGCAATTGAATAAAATATTGTTTGTACCCCCTTCCCCCTTTCCACCCAACCCCCTTTTTTGTTTTCTGTTTTTTGTTTGTTTTTTCTTGCTTTCTCTCTCTGATGGATTCACACAGTACCAAGCAAATTGAAGGGCAAGTATTTTCAGTCTTAGACCACTACCCTTCCACTACCCTCTTCTCCTCACCTGTGTCCAGTATCCCCCACCCCTCACTCCAGACCTTCACCACTCTCCCTTACCACCACCACCTGGCCTGCTTGCCCATTTCCTTGCCCGTTTGCCACGCCTAACCTTGCGAATCACCACCAAACTGTTCCCCTCTCCTCTCCCCTGCCCCCCTCCCCTTATACTCTTCCACTCTTTATTTGAAAGCAACATGTCTTGTTATGTTCATAATAGCTTCACCACTACTGATCTTCCCACTCCCACCCTGTACATTGCTCAGAGATTCAATCCGGTATCGTTAAAGATGAGCCAATTTCATATGGAACTGTTATGTTTGAATTCAATTAAGGTTTTTGTAGCTAGTTTAAAATCCTGCTCTTTTTCCTCCCTCCTGCAAAAAATATCTCTTCCACCCTTTCTGCTTTTTCCTCTCCCCTGTCCCACACCTTTCCTACAAATTTTCTCACCCTGTCCTTGTTCCTGTGCTTACCTTTCTCTTCAAGACAACTCAACCTGAATGGAACAGGGCTGTGCCGAAACCTCCAGGTTCAGAAAGGTTTGGAAACAGAGACCAATATCACTTTCTCAAGAAAACCTTTAAGCTCCTCCAAAGGGAGAGGGGGAGAAGCAGAACATCTCAAGATGAGTCCACATTGCTCGCACGCCAGAATTTTTGAAGCCAAAGTACCATAATCCTCACAATGGGATTGTCATCATTAACAGAAATCTTAACAAGAGATTTCTGACTATTTATTATCTCAAACTTATTATCTTTATTTTTTTTCTACTTTATTATCTCAAACTATTATCACAATCGGAGATGGGACATAGTCGAAAGATAGTGTGGTGAACATTCAGTCTACTCAGTTCTCCTACTCATTCATAAAATTTTGAGGTAGTGGTTTCAAAACTCAATAGGAAGGGCAAGTCTAAAACTTTCCATCCTCTACACAAACCTAAATTAGTAAGATAGGGTTGGTCGTTATAGATTTCACTTGCCTCCTCCTTTTCTTGTATATCAAACACTATGATAGCACATTAGTTTAAATACAGACTAGAGGTTGTATACAGTACTGTATATAGCACTCAGCAATAGCACATAGACTTATATACCGCTTCATAGTGCTTTACAGCACTCTCTAAGAGGTTTACAAATATCAGCATCTTATTCCAACAATTTGGGTCCTCATTTTACCAACCTTGGAAGGATGGAAGGCTGAGTCAACCTTGAGCCAGTCAGGATCGAACTGCAGGCTGTGGGTAGAATTTGCCTGCAATACTGCATCCTAATCACTGCACCACCATGGCTCCCATATACATGTACCTAAGCATTTTTTTTTTTTTAAAAAAGAAATATGTGATTATATTTTATAAAATAACTAATTTAAATAATATACTTTACAAATTAAAGACCTCTGTTATGAAAAGACTGTTGTAGAAGTTGTACCCATAGCACCAGCTGTGACAGAAGAAGAAAGAGGAGTGAAAGTTTAAAGCCCGTTTAGTAGTAAAAGCAAAACTATCTATTTTATATGAAAACAAGGTTTGGAACATTTATTTCATCAAAGTAAAGAAGCAAAGAAATAAAATACTGCATATTTTTGGTTACTTCCATGATTCAAGATCTCCAGGGTCGGTATCCATATAAAAGTGAGATATGTGACTTGAAATGGCATTTAATTAACACAAAATGCAGGAAAGCCCCAGAGGGATGCTTCTTATTAGACTGCGACCTGTTCCACACAAAAAGACACGAAGCTGAAATGCCTTGCAATAAATATATGGTTTTCATTTGACCCAAATTTCCCCTAGATACAAGCATGCCTACAATCATGAGTGAAATTTCCTAGGTTCCATGCTTATAGTTTTGCACAATTTCATGAGGTTAAGCAAGTCTCTACGGAAGTTCAGCCACATTGGCTGGGAATACTAAGAGTGGTAACTCCTAACAAAGCTGGATACTGCTCAGATTGGGAAGCCCAGCTTAAGCACTTAGCAAAGGAAATGGTGCGGGTAGATAGGAAAAGATAAAAAAGATACTGAGAAGAGACCCCAGTCAAAATACACAGCTGTACACTGCCACACTAAGACATTATCAGTGACTGGATGTCAAGCACAAGAGTTCTCAGCCCTGTTCTATCAGCAATGAGCTGCCTGTTCCTGACCCTGTATTGGCAATGCTGATGAAAATAATTACTTAGTGTTTTGTATTCCTTTCCTCTTCCTCCTTTCATTGGCTTGTTTCCAGACCCTGCCTTATAGTCCTGTTCGAAAACAGCAGTCCAACCTATGGCTGTGCTGCCCTCACAAAGGGCCACATACATTTTGCAATGCATTGTGGGAGACATGGGGGGGAGGAGAGGGGTTTTGATGGTTTCACAATCCATCTGTTTATACTGATGCATTCTGAAGCGCATTTTGCAGCTAATCGAAAAATACAAGTCTGATGAATTTGATTGATCCAACAGGAAAAGTGAATGGATATTCTTCAAGGAAAAGCCTGCAACAGCTATCCTTCTCTCTCTCTCTCTCTCTCTCTCTCTCTCTCTCTCTCTCTCTCTCTCTCTCTCCCTCCCTCCCTCCCTCCCTCCCTCCCTCCCTCCCTCTTTCTTTCTTTCTTTCTTTCTTTCTTTCTTTCTTTCTTTCTTTCTTTCTTTCTTTCTTTCTTTCTTTCTACCAAAAGAGATTTAGAAGCTGAAGGAGACTTAAAATACTACACTATTCTCTAGAAAGTAGATATAAAATATACATTTATATTGGTACAATTCCTCACCCAGAACCTATTAATATATTAAAGGTAAGCTGCCTTTATACGCATCACAGGAGAAAATGTTGCTGAGTTAAGGGTTTTTTTCTCCGGGCTTCAAAGCAGTGGATCAGAAAGTTTTATTCACTTCCTCAAAGCCCGTACTGGCAAAAGGAGCACAGAAAAAAGTCTGGGGACTTCATCTATGCAATAACTTTATAGGCATCACCACACAAACTCTGGAGATTATGGTAGTTAATATTTTATTTTATATTGATAAAAATAATTTTAAAAAGAGAAAAGTCATTTTATCACAGTTAACATGTAATTTTTTTATCCCAGTAAAAAAAATCCGGTTCACCCATTTTGGCTCTATACATAGTAGTGTGTAGGTATGAAGGATGTAAGTAACCATGCTTACATCTCAAAAGAACCATCCTGAATTGTGGCAGGGTCTCCAAGGAACTCGCTGCAATTCCTGAGGAGCCAAACTCAACTCCAAACTTCAACTCCATCAGAAGCCTCAGTCTGTGTTCTTTTCTTGCCCCTGAATGTAAATGGTGCAAAACCATTCAAATGTTTTCATGCATTACAGATAGTTAACTGGCTATTGTTTAGTCTGCTATAGAGAGACCTGATGAAAGTAATGAAGATAATCTTAATGGAGATAGGCAATATATTGTTACCAGGAGAAAACATCTTAAGTCTGCATCAAATATGAGAAAGGCTCAGATGGATGCCACACTAATTCACATGAGTGTAAGGAGGAGAAGGGGTACAGCACAATGAGATTTGCAAGATTGCTGTCAGCCCCCCCTCCGCAGATAGACCAGAGCAGGAATCAATTCCATAGGTGGCTAATATTACTTTTATTGATAATGGCTATGCCAACAGAGCCTTATGCTGTGCCTCCTTTCATTCTTATGTGAATTAGGAGCTATATGCAACCCAAAGTACAATGGCATTCATCTTCTCATTCATTTGAGCCTTGTCCTTAGTGACTTATGCAGACATTCCAATGAAATAAGCAGAAAGGTTGCAATTTACAAATGATTGCAAATATATTTTCTTTTCTTTTTTAGCAAACTGGTCTGTTTCATGTTGGAAATATCAACAATTATTTTTATTTTGGTCAAAGCAAAATCTTCCTTTGTGGTTATGACTATTAAGGCCAGCAAGTCCCTCCTGTTGTTGTTTTTTTTATCATGGCTTGGCATGATTTTATATTCCTAGAAAAATGGGGGGGGGGCGTTTTTATTTTTTAGTTAAGCCATTATTTTAGAATAAATTCTTCTGTGCAGTCAATTATATATGTTTGTGATCTTGCTGCCAAGTCTAGAGTGTTAATTATGACTAAATGTTGCGGCACTGTAGGAATTGTGATTAGAGTGCCAATGAGCCTGGCAGAGGTTGATGTTTGCAGATTGGATTGGCTAGAGAAGATAATGATAGGATTTGTTAGGAGTTGAAGATATGGACTAATTTCTTAGTCCTGATCTTAATGAATTAGCCTCACACTGATCCTTAATTTTTTTTAAGTATTATTACATTTTAGTACCAAAATAATCCAGATTAAAGTATCACCCATCATATGATTAGGGGTGAATAGATGGAACTGATACATATTCTGTAATTTTCAATAAAGGAGATAGTGAATCTATTCCATTTAAATAGCTTGTAGTGGAATACTTTTTTCTGGAGCAATGTAGGGTTACTGAAAAAAGAAATATCATCTAAAATGATTGTTTCTTTGCTAAATATTAATTTTTCATTACTTTTAAAGAATGGCATGATTTTTAAAAAAATAATAGTAAACTAGGAGAGTAAACCATACCACCAGTGTTTTCACTTTCCAATCTGTTAGCAGCAGATTGGAAATTATGTCTTTTCTTCTGAAACACTGAAAACAGTGAGTGACAATCCCTGCCTTGTCCTGAACTTTTCAGGTCTTGCAGCAACAAAAGTCTCCTCAACCTCCTATCACATCTAAAGGGAAAGAAACAAAAGCACAATAGCCAGATAAAATCCAATTACAGACCTTCAATTATTATTATTTGAAATATTATTGAATCCCAATATATGCCTATTTGAAGCCTTCTTAAATGTTGGTTATAATAAAGAGCTATCCAGAAAAGATTCAACTAAATTATGCCTCGGTTAAATTATTGTTTATTGTATCAAGGGAACTATTGTTTTAAGATAATTTTTTGAAAGAACCATAAAAGTATAGACAAGTGTCCAGATTGAAGCTATCAGTAAATCTGATCAAGTAGAAAATTGGGTGCACTGTTTTGGTTGGATCAAATTTTTTGGGATTTATTTCAATCTGAATCCTGGACAGAAACAAGAGAGAATCAGTGAGTTATTGATGTTGATTCTCCATCAATAACCATTGACAGCAGTAATAGTGATATAGTTCCGAACCACTTTTCTAGATGAAAAGCTGAATAAATTGCTATGCATTGCTTCTCCCCCCCTCCCCCCCCCCCATCTCACAAATTGGCTTCAGAAATAGTCCTGGCAATCGTTTTCTGTGAAAATTGGCCAGGGAGATTCCAGAGGATTTCATTTTGCTTACCATACTTGTTAAGAATTACATGAAAGTGCTGCACAAGGTAATTCAAGGATTTGAAGCACAGTATAAGCATTGTTATGATGGCACTCAGTTCTCTTTTCTCACACCATCATTTATGGCACAGGCTTCCATCAATTATTCCTAGAGGTCAGGAATGAAATGGATGAAGATTATACATAATTCGATGCAAAATGGCAATGCCATTGGAGAGATGTCTCATAATGTGTAGAGGGCATGTCAATTATAGTTAAAAGAACTTTGTTTCTCATAAAAATAAATTTGGAGGGGAACTCACCCATTTTAAGCAAGGTCATTTGACAGAAGCAATGATAAAGATATTTAGCTTAGTTTAGTTTAGTTTAGTTTAGCTTAGCTTAGTTTAGTTATGTTTTGGAGGCTACTAAAGCACATCTTAAATTGAGCTTATAATCCTATTTACCCAAGATATGTCTGGGTAGAATGTATGTAGGATAATATTATAAAACACAGAATTCCAATAAAATAACAATACTTCCTGCCCTCTTTTTCCTTTTTCCCTATGACCATAGAAATTCAGGATATTGGGACTCTTCTATCTCTGTTTTATACCACAAGAATTCTTACTTCTCTTTTTCAGATAGTGACAATTAAGTGTAAGGAAACTTGCAAAATCAAACTTTCAGAACATGGTAACATCTGGCAAACATTTAAGGAGCATACCAAAAGTTTATTGAAATTTAACCAACTCATAGAAAACCAAATAACAAAATGAAAAACATTTGTAATGTACAGATTACAGTATAGGAATCATTATTTTTCTGGAAAACTGTCGATCATGTTCATTCAATACCTACACCACTACTAGTGAGTACCATTTGGATTTGTGCTGATTGTGTTAAATGTATCTTTTGTCCTATTTTGCTGTTCCAGTGTTATGATTTAATAGAACCCTGTAGTTATTAATTGATTCAGTCATTTACTCAATCACTCAATTCATATCTCAGCTTTCCTTGGGGAGCTCAAGGTAGCAGAGGCCTCTCTCTTTTCATTTTTCCCAAGAAAAAAAAACTGTGAAGTGCCCCAAGTCATCCAGTCTTTTCATGCCTGAGGGTGAACTTCAGTATGGTTTTTCTGCGCCTAATATAACCCCATAACATACCTGTTCCTCATTTTAATAAATAACCATTTACCGATAAAACATGTACAATATATTTATATCCCACCTTTATTATTTTTATAAATACGTCAAGGTGGTAAACATACTGATACTCCTTCCTCCTCTTATTTCCCCACAATAGCAACCCTGTGAGATGAGTTGGGCTGAGAGAAACAGTGTCTGGTCCAAAGACACCCAACCAGCTTTCATGCCTAAGGCAGGACTAGATCTTACAGTCTCCTGGTTTCTAGCCTGGTGCCTTAACTATCAGAGCTCAGTATTCTCTTGGAATATTGACCATGTTTAATGCTCCACAGTTGATTTGATTACATAAGTTACTTCTATGGAATTCAGGCTGTTTCACATTCTAACCAAGGAGGGATGGCTGTTGCAGTGCTCTGAGATCTCTGTCTACTAGAAAAGACAGCTGCTGCACTCTCTACAATGCATTGTGTTTTACCTCTAGCTGCGGGTAAGTCTTTGGTTGGACTGTCTTCATAAAGGACCCTGGTTTGGCCATGTTGATGCCTGAAAAATAATTTTTCTTAGAAAATATTGTTTTAGTAATTCTCTTTTTGTATGAGCAGAGCATGTGATTTCTTTTCTTTGTAATTTCATAATAAGAGAGAGACATCCACATGACCTACTAAACATACATATATATGTGTTTATATATATATAAGAATGAGTATATATATATGTGTGTAGGTATAATTATATATAGTCCCAAATCAATATTTATATATACATATACAATCTGCCAAATATATTTAATTACAGATTATGGAATTTTAATTATATATGATAAACTCACCAAATCCACTCAATGTTGGCAACTTATTGGCTGTAACTTTCTTCTGGTGTGACGTGAGCGCCCAAAGTGTATTCTCTCCTTTCTCTCTTGTTAAAATGAGCCAGTGGTTTTGCCTCTTCTGTTTATTCCTGTCTCTTTTCTCTTTCTCTCTCCCCCAACCCGGTTTCCTCTTGCTCTGGCTCTGTCATCTTCTGAAACCGAAGCTGCCTTCTTCCCTCATTTCAACTCCCCGCCGCATAATGTTACCTTTCTGTTGCAGATTTTGAATACCTGCTGCCAAACAGCTTTGAGTCCGAGGGACATGTATTCATTGCTCCAAGGTAGCTTTGTGTGTGAGCTTGCTGAGGTGTCCATTTAACCACCAATCCTGGGAGTGGTTCAACTCCCCTTCCCCAACCCTTTTTCCGTCCCTGCCACACCTTCAGATATTCTACTCCATCACTCCTGACCCCTTTGGAACTGATATACCTTCTCATTGTGCCAATGTCTTGATCATTTCTTCCTTTTTTGTGTGTCTGTTGTCTGCCTGTGTGCCAGTCTTGGGGACTATATTGCCGCCACCTACACTACATTGTGCTACCATTGGCGGCCGGCAGCATAGCTGTCCCACCTTCTGTTCACTCACCTACATAAGAAGAATAAATATATATATATGTATGGCTGCATATGAGATGCATATGTAGCACACATATATAAGTATAGTTTCTGAAAATCCTCAAAAAAAAAACCAGTGCACAGCGACGTTTTGATCCTATTGAGATCATGAGACCATGTAAGAAAAAATTCCACCAAATAATCTCTAAATTAGCCCAGCCTAAGAAATCATATTGATCAGGACCACTTTTATTGCGACAGCTATAGTAGTAGAAATCTTGAAAGTCTGACTGTACTCCTTCTTCTTCACTTTATCTTTGACCGAACTAGGGAGGGCCTTGTCTGAGATGATTCATTATTTTCTTTGTCTAGGTTCGAGCCCCTCTTATCTGATTGTTGACTTGGTAGCAGCATTTCTTCCTGTCCTTCAAGGCTATTCCCTTTGCCCTCTACAAACGTTATTATTGACTTATTATATAGTAATATCATACATAAAATCACAAACTCTGCATTTTGTAAGCTTTACTCTATCAAATGTTATTCTTCCAACTCTTTCAAATTTAATTATTTCAGATCTACAGAACAAAACATTTGTTACCCAGTCCAGTGTACTGGTCAAAATATTACACTAGGCTAGGGGAGGTTCAAATTCACAGAACAGTTTGAGGATAAAACTGGAGAGGGAGAAAACTATATATGTTATCTAAGATTTGGAAAAAAACAGAATTCCGTATTCCATAAATAAATAAATATTATTAGATTTATGGGCAGCTCAACATCATCCTACATCTGACAAACTGGTGATATATTTGGCATACAAATGCAATTACAGTGACAACTGTTTGTGATAATCATTTGCAATGGTGAAACCTATTTGGCTCCCCAAACCACAGAAGGCCAAATAGAAATAAAGATGGAGCTTTTACATCTTTAATAGTTCTTTAGAACAGGGAAAATCAGAGTCTCAGGCAAGCATGCCATGCTGTCAGAAATAACCCCTTCTACCCAGATTTTTAAAGATGCACTAAACTGGGCCTCTTCTGGGCCTCACTTGATCCTCTACATGGGTCAAGGATATACAGTAAGAAAATGGAAGAAACACCATTTTAATAGTCTTTTCATAAATTCAGCTTTATATAAGACAGAATAATACAATGGATAGGTGACGTTCTAACATTTTTTTAAGCAGCTATGAGATGTATTAATCCCACAGAGCAATCCTATACATAAATATTTAGAAGTATTCCATGGACTTTATTCCCAGGTAAGTATTTATAGGATTGCAGTCTTAAAATGCATGAGACTCATACAAGGTTTTTTTTTTTTTTATTGGGATGAGGAAACTGTATCCCTCCATATAATGCTAAACCAATCCAAACAGCATCATTCGATATTGGTCTTATTGAGCAGGGTTGCTTAGAAACTAGCATTCAACTGGACTTCTTTTCTTTTTGGTTTGAAATGTTTCACTGCTTTTCAAGTCAAAAAGAAGTCCAGTTGCCATGACTCAAGTTCCAAATAACTCTACCTGGATGAATGAGGTAGTATATTTTATTTTCTTAAATTCTGTTGATTCTAGTTTAGCAACTTCGAGAATGGAGTTCACTGACATTTGTTGCATTCTGTGCTTTGTATTTGGGGTTGACAGTATATGAGGAGAGCTATAAAATTTGTAGTTTTTAATCATTTACGGCTACCAAATCTGGGCTACAAAAATCCAGATACAGTAGCTATCATAGGCCTATGTCTTCTATGTTTCTTTCCTGTCATCATTTAGTTGTTATCTGAATTTTTGAATTCCTGATCGCCCTATAACTAATGAATATGTTTTTCTGCACTAAACACTGTCCACCATAGAAATACATGCTTTCTGTGGGACATTTTATAAATCATGGATAACAGTTTATATTCAAATTTTTTAGGTTTTTAAGATTTTTTTGAGAATATGTCCTTTTTGTATAGATGTATAGATAATCATAAAATAAAAGGGAAAGACTTTTTGTTATTCTGAAAACATTATTTGCAACCCAATGTTTAATTAGATCTATCACTTGCAGCCTTTCCCAACCTGATTCCTTTTACATTTGTTGGACCACACTTCCCCCCAGGGCAGCCAAGATGATCAATAGCCATTTTATCAAATTCTAGGAGGTGTCATGTAGTCCATTGGAAGCTATCAGAGGTTAAGAAATGCAGATTTATGATTATATCAGAACAAACAGGCTTCAAGCATTCATTCCTAGTGATTACTTATGACATTTTTAAATTCCAGCTACACTATTTATTAGCCTTTCAGCCCCAATAATGCTCAGCAATATGCTGTGAAGACTCATCATTACTAATATGGCCAATAGTCCATGGTAATTTTCAGAAACCATATATCACTAATAATCTATTTGTGGGTGTGCAAGCACATATTTGTTCATATTTGTGTAGATACATATTTGTGTAGATACATAGGTGGATAAAATATTGTGTATATCTATCTATATATATATAGCTCTTCAAGAAGCAAAATAAACTGGGCGGCCCAGGATTTTATGTTACATTAACATACTGTACAGTGATGGAAAATCAAAAGGTTATTAAAGCAAAATAAATTTGTATTTTAGTTCTATGAAAAAGTTGTTAAAAACTGGTGACCGTCAAATCTTATCCAACCATTCTACAGAATATATTTTAATTGCTTCTGCTTTCATACACATTCATTTTGTTGGATCTAACAAATGGGATGCATACTGAACCTGCTACTTGGTTCAAACTCATTAATTCTCTGTATTTGAATTGACTTTTTAAGGGACTTACTGATTTTGTGCCAAAGATGCCTATGCAACATAGCTAAGTAGTTTTATCTACAAAATGTATTCCACTTATACATGGACAGGCTTTTGTATTGAACACACTTTTTCCGACAGATGCCTTAAACAAATTACACCTGCTGCTATCCCCTCAGCTACATTTCTGTTAAAAGGCAGTTTTACATCATCTTTTCCATCTGGCCACCTGGTGGGATGTCCCATGTGACATTTGTCATGAACCCAGAAAAATCACTCTCTAAATTGCAGTCTCTATCCTGTTCTAAATTATTTCTTAATATCTAATTCTGAAAGCGACAATATAAAGAAGCAGGAATACACACACACATTCTATTTCCAACCCCAGACCTTGATAACTGGCAATGCAAAACTAGATCATGCAAACTTTGTTGTTTAAATTGAATAGAAACTCAAAGATAATGGCAAATGATGATGGGAACAAGCCTAAATTTGTTATATATCTTTACAGTTCACAATGGTCTATATATGCAGACGCATAGACTCACAGCAAGGTACAATCTTACAAGTTAACTCATTAAAAGACTGAGCTGATAAATAGTTTAATATATAAAGCTCAGTACTGAATGTGCATATACTTTTGCAAGCAAATGCCAGCACCTATCTGTCTAAATGAAGGGTACAGATATGTCTACAGTTTGTATATGTGTCTGTAGCAGTATTTCACTGCATAATATTGGAGCAAGCATGGCTGGCCATCCTGTTTTCTATTGCTATGGTGAAGAGCGGTTCACTGTGACTGTCCTGAAAATCTCTGTGCATTGTGGAATCTTGTTTTGTTCCACAAGTAAGACAGATCTTTAGTGTTTTCTCTCATATGTCCCTTTTCCACTCTTTCCTATCCTGTCCCCCACTTTCTCAAAGAGTGGAGTTTCAGGGGAAAAAACATTTTGAATATTTAATATAAAGTCAACTAAAGATGGGTAACTTTTGTCCTTCCCCACCTCCCCCAAAAAACCAAAAATAAAAGAATAGTGGTACTGATTTTAATTATTGAGTTGGACTGTGACCACAATAAATGAAGAGACATATCTAATGAAAGCATATGGTAAGTTGCGCAGTAAGTGATGAAATAGATGTGAATTGGTTAGAAATTCCAACTTTTGCCTTAGCATCTTTTGAGGGAAACCAATTCTGTATCAAAGCATTATAGATAAGAGAATCTTCTACTCTTTTCACAAATCATTGAATCTACATCTATCTCTCCTCTTTCCATTAAGAGAGAGGTAAGTATTTTTTATCCCTCATTTACAAATCCCATATCAAAACCAAAAAGGAAAAGCAAGAAATAATGCAGTTGTGCCTCTAAATTGAGCACCTCTCAAGAAGGTAACTCAGGCTCCAATCACCAAATGCTTAACTTGTTGTTTTCTCTGGGATCTTATCCTGCTTAATTCACCCAGGCTCCTGACTACACTTGAATTGGGTAGTCCCAAAGGTGTTTTTTTCAAAAGGCAACTGGACTTTGTTTTTCCTTGAAGACATTTCGCTTCTCATCCAAGAAGCTTCTTCGGTTCTTTTGAAAAAGCATACCTTTGGGACAACCATGACTTGAATGATTGAGAATCTCCATAGACACTTGAATTGGGTAGCATCCCTTGACAAACAGATAGGTGCTGCATGCATGTATGCATAATAAACAGGCACAAATACACTTGCATATGATTCAGACTGCTGTTGTTGCCATTCAAGAAGTCAACCATCTAATTGGAATTAATGCGTTCCATTTAAATTATATCTGCTTAACTTAAGCAATCTATTAAGAAAACCACATATAGTATTAAGAAAGAAATTTCCCATCCTGGATACATTTCATAATGCTGCAGCAATCAGATAAGTGAAAGAAAGATGATAAATTAATCCATCTTCACAATATTGATTCAACAACTCTTCCCCCAACTTCCATTATTTTTTTCTATAAAAAATAAAACTAGAAATATATACAGTGGAAAGGAGAGAATAGTTATGGACTGAATTAGTGGGAAAAGGAAGAATTAGCATTTTTGTCTTCTTCCTGTCAGTTCTCCTTGGCTAGCCTTCCCAAAATTGGAATCCTTTGCTGGCTGGAAATTATGGAACTTCCCAACACATCAGGAAGGTGCCAGATTGGGGTAGCTTCATTAGCAATACTGTTTGATATTACCATGATGCAGGCAATCCATATTTGGAGAAATAGGATCTGCCATGTTAACTTACAGTTTCACCTTTTATCCATTTACCACCAAAAACCTGTTCAGAAGAGTTTAAAAAACAAGAACTGATATCACCTGTGGGTTTTTTTTAGAAAATTGATATCTGTTATATCATCTTAGACTAACTTTTGCTGTTAGAAAACAATTATATGTAGATATGAACATTGATAAGCAGTGCCATTGTTGAAACAATTGACAGAGATTTCTTTCTAAATTGCAAATAAAGCAGTCAAGTCCTATAACAATCACTTCAGAAAAGAACATTGAAAAGATGCTGAAAGTGAGTATTTCTGGAATGGTTTTAGTGAGAAAGATTTAAGGCTGTATCAATTGACCCATTATATCAATAACTGGCACTGCATATATCTTTTAGCTTGGAGATAGCTATTACTTATCTTCATGCTTTTTAATATTGTTTATTTGGGGACACATACAATCTTCAGAAACAATCTAAATAAAGTGGGCAAGAGATAGTTCCATTTAAAGACAGTGAAGAATTTAACCTTTGTCCCAGATTACCAAACTCATTTATTCCCTGCCATGAAATATCAATACTAGAATGAAAAAATAATATTCACAGCTTGAGTTCTGCTCCCTCTAGAGAAGTGCTAGGCTTTGTAGGTCCACATATTGATCCATTGCTGATGTTCTTTACAACTGACCATCCCAGCTCAGATGTTGTTTCAGCAGCATCTGGAAATCCACAAGCTTCCCATTGCTAATCTAAAAAGACAGATACCAAATCTTCATCCTTAGCATCTCACTGAGGGATCTCATAGCTTATATACAGATCCATTTTTTAAAAGTATTGCTTTTTTCCCCTTGTCCCCAACATTGTGAAAACTACAGTGAACTCTGGAAGAAAGAATGGGAGAGGAAGGAAATTAGGCTATTTTCCAATACTTGGTAAAAATAGAGGCTTTTTATAACTAGCACGGTTCACACTTCTAAAATAAGTGCCATGTTGAAAATCCCAGTAAAGCCTCATGTCTATAGAAATTCACAAAAGCAGATCAAGAGTTTAATTAAGTTACAAACCCTGGAGGAATTAAAATAAGCCAGTAAGTTCTTAGAGAAATAGAGTGGCACAATTATTGCAGAAATCTGAAAATGCAGTGATGCATAGTACTACCCAGTACTATGTGTTGTGCTTTAGGTGGCATTAAGAAACCATTCAGGTGGTGTTTTATGACATCAGTAAATAACAAAAAAGACTTATGCCACAGGTTTTTATATAGCCAATAAATTCCCAAAGGCTTCCTACTGCACTTTCATAAATTGACCTTGTATTAGTTTATAGCCTTCTGGTTACTCTTGAGAGGTGCTGTAACATCAGTGTGAAAAGGCCAAATAATAGCCAACGCTCAAAGACTCACTACAGATATTAGATTTGAAACATACTAGATTCTTATACATATTTCTTTCTCTACCCATTCACAGATGTAAGACATCTATATTGATAATGTATTCATCTGTATTGATAATGAGATGCACATTGAACAGAAAATCATATTTCTGAGCAGAGGTGGTGTTGAGGATATGACTCATTAAATAACTCCAGGCATATTTCCCACCTTCCTTGTCTTAACCATACCCAGCTAGTTTGAGTAGCTGCTTCGCCTGTGCTGAGCACATGATTAGGCCAATTCTGAGAGAAAGAAAACTAACCGCAACTTTTTCATCCTTCCAATCAACAAATCTTCCTCGTAACCCAGAGAATATTGCAAAGACCTCAACCTGTCGGATAACAACACTGAATTCCTGGAAAACTTTATTGCCCTCATGGAAAAGGTGACGCCTGACTCCAAACAATGTAAGTACCCCAAAGCTCTGTGGTGGACAGAAAGTCTCATCCCAAGGAAGGCATCACATTTTGTGAGTGAGAGAACTCAGGGATATCCATTACTAAGCAGCAATGGGTTAATAAATAAATAAATCTACTTTTAAAGGGGAGGATGGGGCAAAGGTTACCAAAAATAGGTTGTTTTAAATAAAGTTTCATGTTTTTTTTAAATAAAGTGTTAAGATGTGTTTCTTTTGTATCTGGAATTGTTACCAGATGGGTTAGGTGGATTTCATAAAACAAGGATGTAATTCAGCTTTCTAGCAACCTCCAGATGTATTGGATTACAGCTTCCAGAATTCCGAATCACTTGGGCCTGCTCCGGAAAATATTAGATTGTGGAAGATTGATTAGCCAATTAAGAGTTGTAATGTAGCGCTGTACATGTCTAATCAGCTTGCCCAAATGGGATCAATGGGACTTATCTTTAAAAAAGTATGCAGTCATTGGATAATGTTGCTTGCCAATCCTACATTTGATCATAGGAATATGGACTTCTTCAAGCTTGATCTGGCTGGAACCAGGTCACATTTCATCAGAGGTTAGAGCTCTCTGATTTTATGACTATAAGATGTACTTCATTAAAACAAACCCTAAATTACATACCAGCCTGATTTTAAATTAGTACACTGAGCAGCTAAGAAACAAGAGCCATGGGATTCCCTTCCTTTATGGACAGGTATTGACCAGGTAGCCTTTAAGTATGTTCCCAAGGGAAGTAGTCAATCCCCTTCCATAGCTGTCAAATATGGAAATGTAATTCTACCATGTTTCTTCATTACATTTAATGTGGCCAAAAATATGACAGTACTTTAGGAATCTGTGTGCATAAGATACAGAAATACATTATTTACCACTTCAGAACAAGAAAAGCCAGAGACTTGAGCTGGCTGACTTACAGTATTGAGAAGAGTTTCCGAAAATATTGAGAAACGTACACTTTTTTAAGACAGTTTAATACTGCTAAGAATTTACATCAGGGTATCCTAATTCCAAATTACTGAATAATGGAGAGATTTGGTATTGCCTTCAACTGCCTTTTTGTGAGTAAAATGGTGAATGGAGAAATTCTTGTGGCTATTCAGGTAAGCAAACTTCTGGTTTTGGAACATTTGTTCTTTCTGTTAAGGTGACAACTTCCTTCTTCACAACCTTATCCTGGACACTGGAATTACACAACAGCTGGTGGAAACAGTATGGAAGAATCAAGATTTAAGCACGTAAATAAAACATCTGAGATATGCTAGTGGTATTATTCAATTATGTGCAGATTAATTGCATCTTTTTGTAGTTTTCTGTGGCAATGTGAAGCTTTCAACTGTGTTAATATAAACTAAATTACATGGCCTGGTGACCATGTTGAAAATTAATGGTGGATGGGGCTATGCAAATCTTTTGAAAGAGGTGATTCAGAAGCACACATGAAAAATCTCTTTCAATTTTTAAAGCAGCTGCATCTTTACCCAGGCTTGTACAGGTGCTCTATAAACTGCTTCTCATTGATCTCTTGCAACAAAAAAACTAATTCACTATCATGTAATCTTATTTCAGTGATTATCAGGAAGGAGGGACATTTTGAATGTGCAACCCTATTCCTAAATTTTTACTTTGATTTCTATCTTACTGCAGATATAGTCTTGTAGCTGTGTTTGTTGCCACAGATGGTGGCATTACCCGTGTTTTCCCTAACAAGTAAGTTTTTGTTGTTGTTATGGTATTGTGATCTATAAGCATCTTTGTACAGATAGATTAAACTTTCTTCTCTTTGGTCTCTGCAATCCATCTTGGTCCTCTGGAAATCATCATAGAATTGCATGTATGGTCTATTTTGTGATTGCCTGATATCAAAGCCATTTTCCAGATTCTTCTGAGTAGGTCAAAGGAGAGAGAAAATTGGTGGCCCCATTTATCAGCAGCAGCCCCCAGCTGACCACCACTGAAGAAAGACAGCATTGAAAAAAGTTTCCTCTAATGAAGCCAAGCATTTTTATTTCCTCTGTATGTCTTTTAAATATGTGAACAAGCCTTGTTTCTGCAAGAATGTTGAGAGTGGGTCTCCTACAAAACAAAACAAAACCCACTACTTTTGCACATCTGAACATGATACAAAACTGAAAAACTATCCTAAATCATGAGATTATTGTAACTTGTATACTGTAGGAGACAAAAATGTGCATTAACTACAATCTTCAGAGGAATATTTTTATTGATGTGCCTTAAATGCCTAAATGGTAGACAGTAAAATTACTTGGCATTCCCCAAACCAAGTGCAAACTTTAAGGGACTTCATAAATATCATAAATATCCTGATATTTTATATGCTTGGAAAAAAACAAAAATAATAGCAGTCAGCGTTATGCAAAATGAAAATTATTGCATTGCCCCAGTAAAAAAAGTTGATAGGATTTACTTTGGGGGATTTCTGCAATCTTCTAAAACAAATAATATAACTCAATTCTAATTTTGAAAAGGCAATTCTGTAAACTTCAAGTGACATTAAAACTTCTCTCTATTGCCATTTTATAATCACATGGTTAAATGGTTGTTTTATTTACCTATTGAAAAATTTATAGGAAATATGTTTGATGAATATCTGAGGTTTTGGCAACTGAAGAGCAGATTGCCTCTTCAAAAATTCTTCAGAATTTTTATGCATATACTTGATTTTGGGCCTACTTTTATGAAAAATGAAATTGATAACGTTCTATGGGTGTGATTGATTTCTATGAAAGAGCTGCTGAAGATTGGGAAGAAGACCGAGAGCCTTTCAATGCCAGCTTTTATCGAAGGAGCCTAGATAATAAAGGCTACATCTTTAAGCCACCTTACCGAGATCGTAAGTAAAATCTTGCAGAAAATAGCTAAGCGGTTTTGGTGTATTTTCAGTTTGGATAGTCCTTATAAATATGAAGCTCCAGGAGATTGCAACAAAACTCTTGTTCAAGCTGGCTTGCATGCTGGCTTACTCCCAGGAGCTGAAGTCCACATGTCTTAAAATTGCTCAGGTTGAAAACACTGTTCTATAGGAAAACTCTTACCATATTTGATCTCTGATACGCAAATTTATGTGTCAGGAGTAGGGGAATGGAGCATTCAGTCATCATATCATGGGAAATAAATTGCTTTGCCCTTATATGTTTATATTTTATGGTGCATATTTAATTTTTGTCATGTTTGTTGTCAGAATTTGATAGAATTGTCACAACTTAGAGAGATAGACAGATGATAAGGCTACCATCCACATTAGTAGCAGTGGATGTAGCTTAAGACTTTAATTACTAAATAGCAGAATCGAAGAAGCAGCCTTTTATTTTGTTGTTAAAGTCAATTGGAAAGTAAGCTTTGGCAGGAAGACAACTTTTCATGAAATCATAAAAATAGTCCATTATCAGATTGTTTCTTCTAGCCCAGAGAGTTTCTTGTAACAGTCATGCAGTATTATTCATCAGAAAATGTTAATTCGTTTTCCTCTTTTCTTTAAATAGCCAATTACAGAGGATCAGAACCAGACAGCAGTGCTGTTGGGATCCTAGTTAGCACAGCTGTAGAACTCAACATAGGAGAGAGGCATCTGAAGCCAGCAGGTAAGGTAATCTAGAGTTTTGTCCCAGAGATCTTTTATCCTATTCTGTCCTATTCAATCCTATTTTAGGATAGAATAGGATAGAATAGGACAGAATTCTTTGCCACAAAGAAGAGGGAGTCAAGCTATTCTTCAAAGCACCTGAAGGCAGGACAAGAAGCAATGGGTGAAAATTAATCAAGGAGAGAAGCAACCTAGAACTAAGGAGAAATTTTCTGACAGTTAGAACAATTAATCAGTGGAACAACCTGCCTCTAGAAGTTGTGAATGCTCCAACACTGGAAGTTTTTAAGAAGACACTGGAACACAGTTTGTCTGAAATGGTATAGGGTTTCTTGCCTGAGCAGGGGGTTGGACTAGAAGACCTCCAAGGTTCCTTCCAACTATTATTATTATTACAAGGGCAATTCAGAAGTAAACTTCCGTTTGGTTATCAATGCCAGACACTCGCAGATACAGAACTTTTATTATACACATTAGAAAACTATATTACATTACTTTTTGACATAATCATATTCAAATTAAGGCACGTCATAACGTCTTACAAGGTTTGAAATTCCTTAGTAGTCGCTTGGCGCCAAATCTGGGCTATGGGGGGGTGATCAAAAACATCCCAATGGAACTGCTTCAAAAGTTCTTGGGTGCGTCTACCGATGTGTGGGCGAGCGTTATTGTGAAACAACACCACACCGGAAGTCAGCATGCCCCGACACTTGTTATGGATGGCTCATCTGGGTTTTCATAACGTTTCACAGTAGACTTCTGAATTGATGATCGAACCACGCTCCATGAACCTCACTAGCAGTACTTCTTTGGTATCTTCACATTTGGCAGGATTTTCTATGGCACCACTTCCGGTGTGGTGTTGGTTCACGATAATGCTTGCTCGCACAACACTAGACGCACCCAAGAACTTTTGAAGCAGTTCCGTTGGGATGTTTTTGATCACCTCCGCATAGCCCATATTTGGTGCCAAGCGATTACTACTAAGGAATTTCAAACATTGTAAGACATTATGACAAAGCCTCAATTTGAATCGCGATTATGTCGCAAACTAATGTAATGTAGTTTTCTAATGTGTATAATAAAAGTTCTATATCTGCGAGTGTCTATCATTGATAACCAAACAGAGGTTTATTTCCATATTGCATTATTATTATTATTGTTGTTGTTGTTGTTGTATCTGCCTTAGTTCAGCAAAGGCTTTCTTTCTACAAGCATTCCATATTTCCAGATACACCTTCCACCACCCCTGAGACTTGAGTTTCAGTGTGATTATGTTGGAAGGTTATGTGAAAAACCCATTGGGGTATATGAAAACTATGTAGATCATGAAATCAGAATTTGTGTTTTAAAATAGAGATAGAATTGGATTCTTGCCTTTGGTCCTTTCAGCTGACTTGGAGGATTTTCCCTTTTTCCTCGCTGTCAGTTCAATTCCCCATTTGTTGTCCTGACTTCCAGATAGACTTTTAGGGGAATGCAAGAAGCTGCAAGGGAGAAGAAGAGCAAAATCTCCTCCCACAAATGTGTTTACATTCATATTCCTCAGATTAAACTTTCTATCTGCAAATTTAAAAATAAAATTATTTTTCCTCCCCAGTGGTAGGAGTAAAACTTGACTTGGAGGCCTGGACACAAAAATTTAAAGTCCTTGCTAGCAATCAAACAGATCAGCAGAAAACACGACGAGTAAGTAATCAAAGCATGCATGCGTGTGTGGGGTGGTGATGGTGTTCCTACCGTTTCCGCGAAAATAAGACCAGGTCTCTTTTTTTTTTGCCTCCAAAAGAGGCACCAGGTCTTATTTTCGGGACATGTCTTTTATACTCACCTCTGGCACCAACAGCCCCAGCCAGCCAGCCTGCCAATTTCTTCTGCGGCCAAAGGAGCAGCTTCATTCTGCAGGTGGGAATGGAGCTCCAGCCTGCATTTCGCAGTCAGGCCTTTCCAGAAGGCCTCTGCAGCCGAGTACCGAGCTATGGATTCAATCCATAGCTCGGTTCTCAGCTGCATAGGCCTTCTGGAGAGGCCTGTGACTGAGAAATGCAGGCCTGGCTGCAGAAGATGTTGCAGAAGAAGTAGGCCAGCGAAAAGAGGCCTGGCTGCAAGGTGAGTGGGTGCGGGGCACGTGGGCCAGCTCCACTCCCCCACCCCTCGCCCTAGCTTGATTTTTAGGTGTGTGCCTCATCCCAAAACTAGGGCTTATTTTGGGGGTAAACCTTATATTAGGCCCACCCCCCAAAATCAAGCTGGGGCTTATTTTCGGGGTAGGCCTTACTTTTGGGAAAACACGGTAGGAACACTACTAGGACTACTAAGACTTTTGAAAACAGCATGGTTGGAGCTGGGGAATTTCTGGTTTCAAAATAAATAAATATTGCATTAATATACAATAAAAGGAAAAGAAGGGAAAAAATTAAATATATAAAGACAATAAAAGGACAAAAAGAAATGACAAAAATGTACAATATTATATGTTCCAACCTAATATGCTATGTGGCTTGGTTTTATATTTTATATTTTGCCATTTATATTTTTATAGTGTATATGTATTAAAGTTGTAGGTTGGGTGGATATTGTTTTTTATGCTCTAGGGTTACCCAGAGCCATACTGTTTGAGTTGGGTGGCCTTATAAATCTTATTAAAAATAAATAATAATACATACAAAAAATCATTCATTTACTTTTTAAACACATCATTAGGCATGTATCATATACTATATTAGTCTTTTCATTATATTGCTAGAGAATCAGTTCATAAAAAGAAAGTAAATATGTATTGATTATTCAAGATATAAATGTGGGATTATTGTGCCAGTCCAACAGTGAAAAATAGCTTATTTTTTTCAGCCCCCATATCGATAAATTCATAATTCTTTGTAGTGTGATATGTTTCTGGTATATAAATCAAAAGTATATTCACATATTTAAAACTTACCAAATTTTATAAAACTGTAAACAAATGGATGAATATTGAACCAAACAGCACAACAGCAAGACAATTTTGAATTATATAATTGTATAAATGTCATCCATTATGTTGACAGTTAACTCTTTTTAAAATAAAACACTTTGTGGGTTTACTAAACATGACAAAAGTATTTTTTGTATTAGCCTCATGATCATAAGAAACATAATTAATATTCCCATATATAGATGTACATTTTCTTTCTTTTAAGGTAAGCCATGTTATTTAGAGTGTAGAACAGGGATCCCCAACTGTGAGCCGTGGCCCACTATTGGCCCATGGCCTATTCGCAAATGGGCGGCCTGAGTGGCGGGCTGGCGTACATGTACATGCACAGCCCCGCCGGTGCAAGCAGCAGGTGCCGTCAGACACTCTGGCAACCCTACTTGCGCCCTGCCCCTCATACAAAACCATCCCCTCCTCCCCCCCTCCCGATGCCAGCTACCAACCCTGAAAGGTTGGGGAACACTGGTGTAGAAAATAGTACGCTAATAGTAATACATTTCTCTAGTTGTTTTCTCATCTTAATTATCAGCCAAATTCATTTACTTGCTCTATTTTTTTTTTCTTGCCATTTATACATAAAGAAATCATGTGGTCGTTAAGGGAATCTTTGCTTGTCAGAAGCCAGCTGGGAAGATCGCAGGTGGTGATTACATGATCCTGAGATCCTGCAACTATCATAAATACTTGCTGGTTGTTAAGCACCCAAATTTTGATCACATACTGTAACTGTGGGGATGCTGTGATAGTCATAAGTGTGAGGACAAATTGTAAGTCAGTTTTTCAGTGGCATTGTAACTTCGAATGGTCACTAAACAAATGGTTGTAAGTCAAGAACTATCTCTATTCGAAACAGACTTCTTTCTAAGCGGACACTAACCAGAGTGTCAGTATTCTCATTTGTGGATCTTCAGATGATACAATCATTTTTTCTGAACTCTTTTGTATTGTTTATATTCATCCAGTCAAGGTCAATTAAAAGACTTTTTTCCCCCTGTGGATGGCATTGGATCAGAATTTTGCACTCCCCCCCTCCAAATTTATCTCTGGTTGTTCCATTATGAGCTTTCCCTGGAGTTCACATGCAGGTGTCACCAATCAATGGATTCATGTATTCATATGCACTCATCGCAGCCTAGATGACAACAATTCATTCACTCTGACATACAACCTATCCCAAAATTGAAAGAGTGAATTTGGCAATTAGAACATTATGTGATGGAATGTCCATAAACTTTTAGAGGTGTATAGTATTCGGATCCAATGTTTCAGAACTGGCATGGGCAGCCTTGATGTCTATAGAGTCTATAGAAGTGTTAGAAAGTGATTATGAAAGATTTATAGACAAAATGTGGATTTAAATAAATCAGTTCTAAGATTTGTCTAGAATTCCCTTGATTTTATTGCCTCCTTTTTTGGGTTTGCAGTGTGACCTCTCCACAAGCTGTGAGATGGACTGTGATACTAATGACAAGGTAAATAGCTGCAACATCACTGCATGACTCCTTCTGACCCGAAGACTATGTAAAAATCCACTTGATTTTTAAAATTCAGAAAGTAAGCAATTTAAAATTGACTTCTGGAAATACTGAGTAGGACTGTAGAAGTAACATGGTTACGATGCAAAGGACAATGCCTTCACCCCTCCCCAAAAAGCAGGCTTCTGAAATATCTGCTTTCCTAAAGCAATTAATGCAAAAATTTAAACATTGCAAATTGCACCTAAGATATTTTTTTTTAAATTGACAATGTACAGTTTGCAATTTGGATTGCACATTCAGAAATTTATATTCCATCTCCTATTGAAGGCAAGAATGTAAAAAAGCCATCTGTAATAAGTTTCCTTATTTGTATTTTTATTTATTTGCTTTGCTTCTCTGCTGCTATAGCCATGTCTGGCTCTGAAAGGCTTGCAAAGTTCCATAACTGTAATCATTAAAAACAGAAACTTTATATCAAAAAAATTCCCCAGTGTCAAGGGACACAGGAAACCAATTTCCACAATCACACACTAACGCACACTCAGAGAGACAATGGCAACCATTCAGAATCCAAAGTTTTACTGAGAACAATCAGATCCTGATGGCTTTATGGAAAGCTAACAGGATCAAGAAACATCTGATATCACTGGAATATTCTTCTGGGGAAGGATCAGGCAGTGACTGATGTCCAAGATCAAAAGGCTAATGATGGTGCTCTCGTCACCCATTTACCCATCCCTGCCTCCAATTTGATTCATCAATTTAAAACCAATCATGTAGAATGTCTACATCTTATGCTCTCTATGCTTGGGTGAAGGTTGCAGAGACTTCATGCTCCCACCGTTTGTCTGCCTTTTAAAATGTTCCACCTTATAACTTATTCCTTTGATAGAGACTTATAATCTTCTTTCTTCCTGCTCTCAAACATACTTCCTCCTGACCTTGTGCCTTCAACAACAAATACTCTTGGTTTCACAGTAGAAGAACCCAGCAAATCATTCAGCCAGCCAGCTAACCAATAAAAATAAATGAAAGAACGGAGGGCAGAACTATTTATTTTAAAAGTGGATTATAGGAAAGAGGGGGGAATCATTCTATTTTAAAAGTAGATTGAGGAACCATTGTTTTATGAATTAGAAAAAGTGGTCAAATGGATTTTAAATGTGGTTTGAGAACAATTTATTTTAAATGAAGGTTTAAAGGTATGTGAAACATGTTTGGGCAGATGTGTGTGTATGACTGATAGAGATGTGCATTTGGACCCTGTAGGAGCTGCTGTCCTCACATGCAAGTCTAGGGGCCTACTTCCATAACTTGAAAAAAATAAGAGGCAGCAGTGCCAGATCACTGCCCTGTCTGGATCATAAATAGATGTTTTGTGTGTGTGTTTGTTTGTTTGTTTGTTTGTTTTAGCCTTCCTCGTCATTTTACTCTCAGTGGATCTCAGTAAGAATTAACAGTAAAGCATGCATGGTACAATACTCAAGACTAAGCAATTATTATATTAAAAAAATATAACCACAAAATACATCAAGAAATCTAAAATTGAAATACAGAAATGGATAGAAAGACAGAAATGCATTCAAGATTCAAAATTTCTCTTAATTCAATTTTTAATAATATCCTAGAGCTAAGTAAGCTGAGAGCTGCACAGATTCCAAGGAAAGGGGTGTTTAAAAGCACCTGCACCAAAGTAGAGAAACAAAGCCTTTGAACCTCTTTGCCTCCTGGGGAATAATTAGGAAATTCTCCCAGGTATTTCATACCAGGTAGAGAAGTTGGGTTGAAGAAACAGTCCTGGAGATTCCATAATGCCAAGATATGGGCTTTAAAATTAGCACTTCGAATTGCCTATGGAAGCTAATAGGGGCATGCATGTGGAGCAGAAAAGTGCAATAAAATAAGGGAGGAAAAAGAAGGCCAGTGGCCTCCTTAAACAAAAGCAATATAGCAGCAACACTCCATGTCATTGCAGCCACCCACTCCCTCTTCCCATGTTGCAGGATCTGCTTTGTGTGCTTATTGATGATGGTGGATTTCTGGTGATCTCCAACCAAGAAGACTACAAATACCAGGTGAGCTGTTCTTTTTCTTAAAAAAAAAATTAGGGGGTACTTGCTTCATTTCACAGTGATATTTATGTAATTACCAAAGTTATATTTTTCAATATTCTAATATGACTCCCTGTTTACTAGTACAGTTCATTCATTGATTATTTTCTCATATTCATGTACAGAATGTATGAGCAATAACATTTTTACAAATAGCAAACTATGTAGATATTACTGATGATTGTTCTTTTCTCCTATTTGATATTCAGGTTGGAAAGTTCTTCAGTGAGGTGGATGCCCATTTGATGTCTGCTCTCTACAACAATTCATTCTTCACACAGAAAGAATCATACGACTTTCAATCTGTCTGTGCTCCAGAACCTCCAAGCAACACAGGAAGTGCATCACGTGGGGTCTATGTGGTGAGTCAGGATTCCATGCTATCGGATCTTACCTGATTGAAGCATTGGCTATTTGTTATGTTATGTTATGTTTATTATATTTATATCCCGCCCTTCTCATTGCGGACTCAGGGCGGCTAACGGCCAGATAAAACAACTACAAAAATACAAAATGCTACAATTAAAAACATAATTAAAAGACAATATTAACATTTGGCCAAGTTAATTTAAAATTATTTTAAAACCCCGCTAAAAATTTCCCCTAGGCCAGTCCTGCAAGCTGAAATAACCAAGTCTTAAGGGCGCGGCGGAAGGAAGGGAGATCAGGGATCACCCTGATCT